GTGATGGTGGTGATGGCGGCGGCGGTGAGGGTGGCGGTGGTGGGCGTGTTGGGCGCGCTGGGTAGGTTGGTGGTACATAGGTCGTAGTGTCTTGTGGAAGCTTGGACTACGAATCGCTAAGGTCCGGAGTGAAAGTGGCATTGGGCTGCTTCGTGGGGCTTTTGGGGCTACTGACAACTGCAGCAGTCTTGGGCCGCAACCATGAGCCGCCTGGCAGAGTGGAACCGAAGCTTGTGAGGTGCGCTCAAGATGCTTTTAGAGCTTCTTGCAGTTCCTGTAAATTGTATATGTTTTCCGATTCACATCCGAGCTGTACCGACCACTAGCGTTGAGGTTTCAGAGTTTCGCCCTGACCTTCAAGTGGATACGACGTCCCCCATAGGAAGTTCCTAAACACAGGAAAGTGGCTTCAAGTCTTGTCTCAGAAATCCTCACGCTTTGAGCATGCCTGTTGACAACTACCTGCCATCCAGGACCCGAAAGCTCATCGCCACACTGGGCTGGACCTTGAGGGATGCCACCAATAGCTAGCAGTAAACCAGGGCCATGCAGTCCAGGATGACAGGGATAGTCTGGAGACTGTTCGGGCCCACTATCTGAAACGGGTAGCTCATTGCTTGTGAAGACTTGGGCATGTAAATCGGCCACTGTTCACTCCTGCCGTAGCATGTCCATGTTTATGTCCCAGGATAGCCGCGCGGGTTCAGTTGCCAGCCTAGCAGATGCGGTAAAGCACAGAGAGCACACTCGGATATGCCCATTACAAGTTGCGGTTGTAGTTGAAGCCGAGACGTCTGTCCTTTTGCTTGCGGCTGCCTCGCGCGTGTTCGTGAGGACCCCCGGCACAGATGTGCTGGCGGACCTGATGGTCGAAACAGCAAAGCAGATGCAGGTTGGGCAGGGAAAGTTGAAGGTCTAGGTAGAACATCGCTTACTTGTCTATATAGCTCAGCAAGCTTATTTTAGCCTGCAGGAGCTGCAGAAGTGGCCAACGGCTGCCTCAGAGCAAGGCACGACTTTGCAAGAGAAGCTGAACGCGTTGCCTGGCTTAAGAGCGCACAGCAATTCTCATGGTGCGCCATGAGCATGGCAACACACGTATTTGCCACCCTGCAACAACTGGCCAGCACAGTCAGTTTTTCCGGAGATCCAGATCTATATATGTTACCTCCATGCAAATAACCTAAGACTCGGTCCTAAAGTCTATAATGGATAATACTTACATTGGGCTATTTGAATTTGAAGGGTAATTAACGGTGAAGCTGACGACCAGCAAGATGCCGGTCTCCGCTTCCAACATTGACTGGCAGAAGAAGAACTCGTCGTCCTCGTCCTCGTCCTCG